GGAAGTACTGCAGTCAGTACTTCCGCTGACTGCTAGTTCTGCAGTTCGGCGGTTCAAATCTCACCGGCTCAAGGTTGACTCAGGTGGGTGAAATGAGGACCCAGATTGTTGGGGGCGATATGCTGACTCTGTAAACCGCTTAGAGAGGGCTGAAAGCCCTATGAAGCGGTATATAAGTCTAACTGCTATTGCTATTGCTATTGCTATTGCTATTTATCAGCTGAGCTTTTATCTATTGCAGAAGAGTTTCTGGTTAAAGAAAGTACTGAATCCAGAGCAACATTAGATTCTATGTCTCATTCTCAGAAGGTTGATGAAAATCTCCACAAATCCCTCTCTCTCCGCCAAGAAAAAAAGACTCGTATCTCCTCCATGTCCTGCCAGCAAGGTTGCGCGTCCTTTGAAAACGTTCTTGCGCACAGGGCAGAAGAACATCAGACGCCGATGACTTCTGCCTCTGTAAATCAAAAGAGCCCAATAAAATTATTCCTCCGTCACAACATTCCCCTCCGCTTCACTCCCGAGGAAGAAGAGAGCCAGCGGTTAAAGAATAGAAAAAACGACTTGAACAAAAGATGGCTCAACTTGAAGAGAACAATTAGAAGGTTCAAGAGGAAAAAAATGACGGAAGGCAAAATTAAGAAAACGGCGGTGGTTAAGAAGCAGGAAGAACTTGAACGGCCCGGCAGAAGCAAGACGAAGATGCCCGCGAACAGAGAGGACTGCAACTGGAGGAGGAAGAACGTCGGCGTAAAGGAATGGATCAGTGGTGGGTTTCAAAGTTTTGGAACCGACTCTGTGGGCGTGGCCTGCTTTGTGGGAGTGGTTTGCTGGCCATGTGACTGGGTGGGAGTGGCTTGGCAGTCATGTGACTGGGTGGGAGTGGCCAAGACGACGCCACTGAATTCTTCGCGCCAATGGATGAACGACAATCGGATTAAAATAAGTACAAAAATAAATAATACTAACTGCAAAAGAAATAAAACAATATTGGACGCAATTGTAGTTGTAAGCTGAGGACTGCGGGTAACAGAAAGGACCTCTGCTTTCAACCAACAATGTACTGTCTTTTAGGGAAGGATGTGAATCAGGCAAGATGTAAACAAACAGGAAAGATTTCATCCAAGAACTTAGTTCAAGAATGAATGTCATAGGTAGAGATTCCCAGAGCAATACAGCTTTCCTTTTTCTGAAATTTAGTTCTAGGTTCCAAAAAACAGGAATATATGGATTAGGTTCAGTACTTAAGTAGGTCCAAGTAGCTATTCAGAAGTTAGGGGTTAGAAGCAATGGTAAAGCAAGATATGGAATTAAAACCAGAAATATTTTGTTGGCTATTTGAAAGGGAGTAGACAAAATTTTTAAACCAAAATTTGGGGCTCAATTGTGATCGTAAGTTCTCTGCCTCTTTCCCTCTCTCTCCCTCCCTTCCTCCTTGTGTCTCTCTCCCCCACTTATTTTCTTTCTTTCCCTTCCTTCCTTCCTTCCTTCCTTCTTCTCTCTCTCTCTCTC